GAGCTTAGTGCCTAGGCTTCACATAGCTGTGTTCCACGGGAATCTTAGTATTTATTTCCCCCGTGGGGAGAGGAGTCTATTCCCTTGATGCAGCTTATTCCTAGCCTGTTTCTGGTCAGATTCCTCTCATCGCCCAGACCCAGTGAGCTGTCCCTCTAGGGGTTCCAAGCAGTAGTCAGTTGTCCTGAGATCGGCAGAAGAGTCAACCCAATTAGCAGAGCACTGGGGAATTTGGAATTCTCTGAAGAAGGACAGCACCTCAGGTCACACTGACACACTAAATGGCCCCAAAGACATGTCAAAGTGAAAAACAAGACTGCTTCAACCACCCAAGTCTCAGGTTTATAAGACAGGTCAGGTTATATGCGTAGTTCAGGGAGGGTTTGCGTGTAGAAGGAAGAACTCAACAGAGAATTTCCAACTCAGCATCGTGGCATTGTCTAAGGGGAGAAATTCAGCAGCTTCAGTTCAGCTCAGAGTCAGCAGTGATCATGGATGGGGGTGGCAGCTGAAGAGGCTCGAGTGTTCAGGGCCACCTGTCTCTCAAGAAGCACATCAGCTGTCCTTGTACAGCTGTGAAAGGCAATAAAAGGGAGTGGAGACCCCCTAACCATATGAAGAGAGAGTGGCCATCTTTTACAAGGTGGGTTTTAGTTAATGACCCTTTTCAATTCATGAAGTTTTAGTGACCCTAAGAAACAAAAGCTCTACCCAAGCCCCTCACTTCTCTCACACTCCTACTCCCCCCATACCTCCTCGCACACCATCATATCAGGCATTCAAGTTCAACGATTCAAAACAGTGACAATACATAGCCCATTCAAAAGCAACCCAAACAATCTTCCCTCTGCTACTGCTGCTGCTGGTTGTGTGTGTGTGTGTATGTGTGTGTGTATTTAAGTTTTGGTACTTCACAAGTTTGGTCAATAAGTACGAAGTAATTTTACAATCATTAAAAACAAAATTTTCATTTTCTCGAAGGCAACTAACTATACTCACCATTCTACCACCACAGCCTGCTAACATTGTTATTTTCTGGAATTTTCTTATATCAACGCCTGATTGAGTGATTTCTTAGTCAACTATCTGGAAATTAAGTTACATGCAAACACCATCCCAAATTGCCCACTGTGAGATCCCCTTTAAGCCAATTCATCAAATTAGGATCCAGTTCTGGGAGCCTTTCTCCACACTCCATCCCTAAGTTGCACAACGCCAGCCCAAAGCTGCTTCCTTAGGAACACACACTCCCTTCAAGGTGTTTGCACATCTTGGGGCTGGGGTTGGGTCCCAGGGGAAGTATAGATGAGTGCTTTATAATGCCTGCCTTTTGTTGAGGCTGAGACCCTGAGGGGACAGGGTGTGGGAGGGCAGGGGAGCAGTGCTTCACTCTCCAAATCCCAACTCCAGTGTGCAGCCTGCCAAACTCTGCACACAGACATGACAGGGGATTGTAAAAGTGCACCGCAAACAATGTGGCTAATGTACCGGGATCCCCTGCAAAGGAGCTCAAGGGGAAGTGAGCAAAGGCCTGGAGATAGCAGAGATGGAATAAAGCACCTCAAAGGAACAACGCTTTTAGAACATTGATCTTCTTCTTCTGTTTATCCCTTTCTGCAAAGAGCAAGAGCAAAAGGGCACGAGGAGAAAGAAAGACTGGACTCTGGCTATCTTCCCTAGAATAGCCTGCAAGCAATTCAGGCAGAAGTTCTTTACACAATGGATGAATGTAATATGAACCACACTGCCAACATCAGCAGGAGGAGTCAGTCCCCTGGACTCTGCTCAAGGGGGGCCTCAAGACATTTTAGAAAGAGCAGGGAATCAGGGAACCGGAAGCCTGGGACACTAACTCCCATCCTGGCTTGACAGGCACAGTATAATTTGTGATACATCCAAGGATAGACAGGAGGGGAACTATGCCTCGCCATTGTGGAGTCTTAGGCACGATGATCACTCCAGCTTTTCAAATTCAGGTAAGGATTCTGGCACGGGGTATGAGGATGCTGTTCCTATTACAGTATATTCTCCCAAAAACCCACAAAAATTCAATGGAATCTTGATATTTTCCTTCTCAAATAGGTCTTACAGATCATCCCGTCTAATTATACACACAAAGAGCCCACTCCCAGAGAAAGGGTCTTGGATGGCTCTACACGTGTGCTCTACAGTTCACGAAGTAGGGCCAAACTTGACACTTGAGTTCCCAGACTCCTAAGACAGTCACTGCTCACAGGTTCAATGAGTTTGTCTGAATTCCAGGGTCTCTCCAATTCTGGGTTTGTAAAGTCCCATCTGAAAGTACATTGACACTACTTGAACAAGATAGACTAAACAGGCTGAAAATATTCTTCAGAAGTTCACTTCATTTGAAAGTATAGGAAAAGGGGAGAGAAGGTAATATGTTAGGCAACTGTTCTGTGGACAAAACTCTACCATAAAATGCTACCGGTCAAATGTTTTCTTTTCACATATTCATTTTTGACAATTTTTTAATCCTTCTTCACCTTGTATTGGAGGGAGTTTATCGACAAAGGCATTGGTAATTACTGCTCTGCAGGAAAGGTCACAAAAGTGGTTCTAGATTTTGGGGGTCAATTTGGGGTTGACGATATGGGGGTTAAACAAACAAACAAAAAAACCATGACATAATGTATTTCTAAACCTTTAAACTGTAAATGGGACATTCACCAGGGGGAGGGAAACAGAAATGGCAGAACAGGCAGTATTTGAGTTTCTGCATTTGAACTTTGTGAACAGTTGTTTAACTAAATTCAGGTCAGGCATGCAATACCTGGGAAGAATTTCCTTCCTTCACAGAGTTCTAGAGTTAAAAAATACTAAAATGAAGTCCTGGAATGCTACATAAGCTTTGAAAAATCACTTAAAACCTTAGAAAGATTAGAAAATAGACATTGATCCTAGAAGGCAGGCTCTGGGGGTCCCCACTTGTGTGTCCCCATTCTATCTATGAGGCAGCTATGCCAGAGGCCCCCTGAAGAAATCCAGCCCCCCACCATAGCTCACAAAGCTCTATTTAAGGGGAATACATGTAAATGTCACAGAGTAAGAATGAGGTGCTGGCTTCTTGGTTTCTCTATTTCCTGATCTGCTTTTTTTTTTTAAGTGGTTTTTAATTGGACTTCAACCTAGATAATGAATAAGTATGCGTAGGATTGAAAGAAGCACTCAAATTCAAATTTTTTACTCCATGAACTTCCACTGTTAGATATAAAACTGGGGTTCATAAACAGTAAAACTGTTCAGTAGCTATGTAGTTTGTTTTTTCCATTCTGTTGGCTTTTAAAACATTTTAAAGAAATAATCCAAATTTGCACATACATTTCTCAAGTAATCTTCCATGAATGTGCTAATGCAGCTATTTCAAAAGCGAGGCAAAGCTGATTGAAAATTACTTAAGGGTACAATTTGCTCAAAAACATTTGAGCAATATTTTAGATCTACATCTTGTTCTATTTTTTCAGGTGAAAGTCTCTCTAGTATTGCTCTACTGTGTCTTATTTTTTTTTCTAATGACGACAAAAGAAAGAACGAAACCATGAAAACATGTGATAACATTCTAAAGACAAAACTCAATCATTTATCATATATATATTTTAAATCTTTTTGCATCATTTTCTAAAAATAGCTTAGGATGTTAAATAAATGTACAGAATGATAAAATGACATTTCTCACAAGAGGGAATAGGATCAAATATGCCATTATCACTATAGTACCTTAAACAAAATGTAGCTAGAGTATGGACTTTGAGATTTTTCTCCATGCCCCCCTCCCTTCTCCCACCCCAAGAATGTCAAGAATTTGAACTCCCTGTTCTTAAGGTGAAAGGGCATCCACTCAAATCTGTTCTTGAAGAAAAGAAGCAAATCCTGAGACATTGGAACTATACAATAAAATCTCCCCAGTTTTAATATGGCCATAGATGGCGATTTCCTTTGGCGCTTCAAAAGTCATCGCAAACAACATTCAGATTGTAGATCATTAATTAGGAGCCAGTAAGATCTCCATCTGCATCTCGGTAATTCTCTACTCCTTTATTTCAACATTTAGCTTTAGGTTTAAAATATTTTGCTAAGAAAGCAGAGAGGCAATTAACAGAGATTTTTAAATGTGTGCCATAGTTACACATTCTGTCAACAGAGTAAAAGGAAACCATATAGCATAAGTTACAAAACAGTTATTTCATGTTTCGCAAACATCCCAATAAACCCTTCACTGTGGTGTTATTCAATTCAACAGTAGAAAAGCAAAACAGAAATGAACTCAAGAGCCAGACCATCTCCTTTACATCTCATAGGGAGTCACAGGGAATCCAGTCTTCGCCTATGAATCTCAGAGAGGAAAAGCTTCCCATTTCTCCTTCGAGAAGATTGTCTACTCAGGGAACACAAGAAGGGCACAAGGTGAACATCCCTGCTCCTTAGGGATGAGGGAAGTTACTCCAGCCCTGGAGAAATTCCTGCAAGCGGCAAAGAGCACTCCAAAGATGCCCAGTTTCCCAAAGGAATAAACGTTGATTATCTGGGGTTTGCTTTAACCCCTACAGAATAACTTATCATGTTTGGGTTTGGGTTTGTTTGTTTGTTTTTTTTCAAACTCCTTTTCCTTAAATTATCTAGAGCTACCAGCTTCTATAATGGCTCAGTCACCACTTTGATACGATGTTATTTGGTTGTTTTTTAAAAATTTAACTTATTATTTTTATATTATTATTCCAATAGACTGTATTCAAGGCAGTGATCACTAACACAGAACACAACAGGAGCTAACAATCAGCCAGGTTGTTCTCAGGACCCGGTCTGCCCGGCCCAAGTCGCTGACATGCACATCGGTAGCTCATACACTGCTACCTCATAGCACAGGCTGCAGGGGGAGTGAGTGAAAACACAGATGCTGCTGTTCCCTTAGAAGCTATTTAATAAATATCATCAAAAAACAAAATGAAAAATAAGCCCTCCAGAGCACAACCACCTCAGGTCAAGTGAATATCATCTAGTTTTATTCAACCAAAAATTGAGAGAAGGAAAATATTAAAACAAAAAAAAGCAGTTCTTAACACTAGCAGTAAATAAATTTGTACAACAATTCAGTCTGTATAATAGGATGAAATAAATCTACATCTTTTCTTATTTTGGTGCTTTGAATTATACATACAAACAACAATTACAGGGACTTGTTCACAAAGCATGTAGGCCTGTAGAAAGGCATCTGAAACCCTCGATGGCAATATATGAGTGTTAACACTGATTGCCCAGAACTGACAGAATTTCCTATGCAGAGGCCCACAGCTTTGAACAAATGATTTGCCTACAGCTTTTTTCTTATTCTTTTTTTTTCTTTTTTTCTTTTTGTTCTTTTTTTGTTTGTTTTTGTTTTTTTTGTTTTTTTGCTTTTAATGCATCAAACAACTGTGGCCAGTGAAAGGAAACAAAACTGGCGGTTTGTCCATTTGGATATCAGACCTAGTTTCTTCTTAATTTCCACACTTAATTTCCCCCATATCCTTAAAATTCTTGGCGTCCTTCATGCCTTTCTTACAGCTACCCAGATGCAATAAAGTCTTCTTCAAATGTACAGTATTTCTTACGGTATAAGTTATATGCAATGTTCAGCATTTTTTTTTTCACAGCACTAGAGAGACCCTGTTAAATAGGGAATATGAGTCTGAATGGCTTATTCACAAATGGGATCCAGATTCAGTGATTGAGAACACAGACACCACAGTGAGCTCCTCTGCAAAAGTGGCAAACATCATTTTGCTTTCTGCCTTCAAAAACATATATCCATCGGTTTTCGGCTTCATGATACTGCTCCTGCAAAAATGCACGTAGGAGGGGCTGGAGGGACTCTCGCCTGGAGACCTTGAAGCATCGAGCAGGGACTCTAACCCATGGCGGTGACCATACTGGAAGGATGATGAGGTCCGAAGGAGAGGCTGGACGGCGGGTGCATGGGTGTTGGCGTGGTCAGCATGTGGCTGGAGTGGCTGAACGGTGAAATGTGGCTGAGGGAGGACATGTGTCTGGAGAGGGCGGCCGGGTTGAACGAGCTGCTCTTGGGGAAGTCCTCCAGTGTGTCATGCACCTTTTTGCACTTTTTGGATTTGCTAGACATTTTTCGGTTTCTGGTTTGGATGCCTTCCTTCTTCATAGTCAGGGGTCTGTTAATCTAAACAAAGATCAATTTTTTTTTTTTTTTTTACTTTTTTGCTGGCTCTGAAATGGCGCAGGTTCTTACACACCAAGGTGACTCCCCGGGGTCAGGGATCTGCTTTCAAGGACCTTCCCTCCCACCTCTTCCTGCCGCCTTCCCAGGGACCCCTGAGTCCTTCGGGCTAGAGCTACAGCAGGCTGTTCTGACTGTCAGCCTCTATCAGGTTCAGAAACCAAGAGCCCCTAGGTAAGGTGTTCCAGGCAGAGGTTATTAATTATGTTCATCCGCATCAATCATTTGGGGGAAATTTTGCCTCAGGAAACTTTGTGTTCTCAAGGACCATATTCCAGAGACCCATCCAATATGACTGCATTTCTCTGGTTACTACAATATAATAACTTGTCATATTTCGTTAGAATCCCTTTAGAAGATTTCATGAGAATGGAGGCAATGGAGGAATCTCGACGATGGGAATAACACTCTCTCTACTCATCTGACAAATCTGGGTTAGAATTTTCAAAGCCTTAAGATAGCCAATCTTAAGTTCCTAGGTCTGTCTGCTTTAAGAAAAGACTGTACCCACTCTTCAAAGTAATCTGTGATTGTTTGTCTTGTACTTGGCCCTTTTACAATGAAAGTTTCTCTCCCCCTGGAATCTCTATGTCAGGGGTCATATTTTAATACAGGTCTTTCCAGAAAGTAATCCTTGGTTCATGTCACAGCTTCTACAATAACTGAAAGTTACAATTTCTACCTAGCTCTGACTCTCCACTTCTAAAGAAACAAATAGCCAAGTAGCCAATCAACAAGTATTTAATAATCACTTATGGGCTGCAAAGTACTATGATAGTAGAAAAGTACACTCAAACTAAAAATTAAAGACTGGCCTACGGGTTAAGTCTCAGCAGTATCAATACAACAGCCTGAGTTTAATCCCCAGCCAGGCAGCTGATCCACATGGCACAGCAGACCTCTCCTGTCTCACCCACAGCTCCCCTCAGCAGTGTGTTTCAATAGATCCACCTGTCCTACTACTTACTCTGTCTCTGGGGAATCCTCTTACCAGCACCCACATCTCTGGCCTACACCCCAGCTCTTCTATGCAAAAATAAATAAAATCTTTTTAAAAATAAATAAAAATTAAAAGACCAGGAATAAACTAGAAGCAAAAGATGGGTAAGCGCCTACCCTAAAGATCACTCTTCTTCAGTTTCCAAGATGGACGGCACACCATTTCCTTCTTGATAAGTCACATACTTTTGTTTTTTACATGCATTTGCATTAGAGTCAGGGTCTTTTTTACAGAATCAAAAAGAGGGGAATTTACGAAGCAAATAGGGATCCTGTCCACAGGGAGTCAGAGATGAACACAAGGAGACATCTACTGCAATAGTAAAGCACCCATATGGAAAATGACTCAAAGAGGGCAAGTCAGGGTCCCAGTCATTCCTCGGCAGAAAGAGCTGAAGTGGTCTGGGCTCCGAGGTCTAACTGTCTGCAACAAAACCCAGACAACCACAGTGAAAAAGCAAAGCCCCAAGTGCTAAAGAAGGCCCAGCTTCTGGGGCTTGCGAACACCCAAATTGCTGGAGCTAAACCTGGAGAGGTTGCCATGAGGAGGGGTCTGAACCCCCACACTGAAAGAAGGACCTGACTCCCCACTGTATCAGGAAGGTCACGCAAATGACTGCATAAGAGCTGAAAGGTCACAGCGAGAACATCTCAGGGTTCCTTCTTCAAAGTTGTAATCAAGATAAAGACTACAGAGATGATAGGAATCTACTGTCACATCAAATCTTCCCTAAGATAATGTCTAGACACCCAGCTCTTTAGGCTGGTATCTAGATATACATAGCCAGGTATCTAAATATAATATCTAGTTACACAGATAGCCACACAAACCCAGATAACTAGTCCCAACACCACATAGATACACTGATACTGAGATAGGTAGCTATCTAAACACCTAGATAAGAAGAAAGGAAATATGGCATACTTGGACAGGTATCTAAATAGGCAGACTGGATCACAACACAAAGAAATCACTAATACATTGTTATTTCTTCTGCCAAATACACATAAATTACTTTTGTGATTTCTGACTAAACAAGAGAAGACGAAAAAAACCACTGATGAGCAAGTTCCCAGTCATGAAGCTGGAAACAAACCAAAAGCAAAGTAGAAGTAAACTGGAGAGAGAGAATTCCTTGGCTCTTCTTGGATTAAATGAGAAATTCACATTCTTCAAAAATATTTTCTTTTACATTAGAAGCAACTGAGATCATATCTCTTCATGATCAAGAAATTTATAGCTAGTTCATTTCTCATCATCCCTATACTTCTATGAAAATATTAATTACATTTACACACACAATTTGTTACTTTGAATTATATTTTGGTAAAGTTTAGAATGAGAAAGCCTTTACTTTCCAATGATTCTCCAATTAGTCCTAACACTACTAACTCCCACAAAGATCTTTCCTGCATTGAAGTCGTCCTGAGTCTATTATTTCATCGGCTATGTCCCTTTGCACTATTCGCTTCTCTGAGTCATAATTTCTTCAACTGAAATGGAAACAGAAATCATTTCTGCCCTGTCTACATCATGGGACTATTTGAGAAACAAGCATAATCAAATAACATGAAGGCTCTTTGAAAACCATAAATTACAGCCCCAAAATAATTTTATAGGTTATGCCAATGACTGGGTAGCTCATAAATTCTAATGCCCTAAGTTTTCCAGATTTTAATCACAAATCTGTTTATCTCCACTGCAGCGAGCAAGTAAATTCCCCAAAGTGAAAACAGGACTTGGATTTCATCAGTAAGTACACAAACACCGCAGTCCAGGGACCTGAGGGAGAATAACCGTGTGCAAGTCTAGTTCATTAATACTGGGCCCTGCGCGGAACCAAGTCAAGAAAGAACCACAGACAAGATGAGCCCTGCCGAGTCCCTGGAATCGGCACAATGTACTCCCAAGAGGGAAAAAAGGGCCAGAGTACGGGAGTATGGGAGTCACCCAGAGAATTTCTCAAGTGACTCAAAAAAACTAACCTGAGAGGCTTCCTCCCCAATTCCCAGGTATTCCTGGGTAAAATATGTTGACTGCCAGAATGGCCCTAAGCAAAAAGTGTTGTTTTTTTCCCGGTTCAGCCTCAGACTCAGCCAAAGTCAGATTGGCAAAAAGACTTGGTGAGAATCAGACAGAGCCAAAGAACGGAGGGGGAGGGAGAAGAGGAGAGAAAGAGAATAACCGTCCTTCCGTGGGATTAATAAACTTCAGACTTCATTAGGGTCAGGGCCTGTCAGCCAGAGTTGTTTCAGTGGGGGGAAGAAAGACCCTGAGAAAAAATTTTAAGGTAAAGATACTGCAAAATGGGAGGACACCCCAAATTAAAAGATTAGAAATGACATAACTAAACCCAGGTGACTGACTGGCAATTACCATTTGGCTAATAAGACTAGAAGGAGAAAGGAGAGTTCCTTTTTCCTGGGATAATCTCACCCCCAATGCTGGTGAGGAGTCCTCAGCCAGTTAGGACAAAGATATCAGATGAAATCTTTCAGGCACTTTATTTCATGTCTTTTATACAGAGAACCCATTTAAAATTCACAGCACAGGGTAAGCCAAGACTTTACCCCTCAGTAACTGGATCGGTCTTCATCAGTCTAGGGATCCAGATGCCACCTATTACAATTCTATTTACCTTCCTCTCAGACTCTTTTTCTCTTTTTCTTTTCTTTCTTTCTTTTTTTTTTTTTTTTTTGCAAGAAGTCTATAATGCAAGGAAACACCAAACCATGAAGTGTGACTTTTTGTGTTTTCCCAGAGGGAGATTTTTTTCCTTAAACTTCAACCTACCACACATAGCGGATTGCTGCCATGCAGAGCTGTCTGATACATGCTAAGAGGCTAGGCCACTCTGTCTTAAATCCTTCAGTCTCAACAAGGCCTCACTGTGCAAAGCAGATGTCCACATGGGGTCTGTGGCTTTATCACAGGCCCAAAGGAGAGCAATTCAAAAGCAGAAGGGAGCCTGTGCTACTATTTTATTGGGCGACATCTGTGGGGCACCTATCTAGGTGCTCCCGCGACACTTACATTGTGCAGCTTGTAGTACAGCCCGCAGGCATTGCACACAGGGTCTCCGTTGGCATTTCTTCTCCAGAGCGTGGTCGTGGTGGTCTGACAGTTTGCACAGGACGTACCTGCCCTTCTCGCTGCCGACTGGAAGTGAGGAGAGAGAGAGGGGATAAAATCAAAACAAATGTTAAATGTGTTTAAAGAACTACAGAGGCAGACTTAAAAAAAAAAAAGGAATTATCATTGATATCAAAACTAGCAAGTGGCCCACATGAAAGTAATAAAGATCCCCAAAAGCTGCCTCACATAGAAAAAGGCAGCCAGTCCTCTGGCAGGAGAACTTATCAGACTGCAATCAAGTGATCAGAATTTAGCCTGCTGCCTTCCAGGTGTAGAATTTGGGAGGATCAGAAAGCAATTGAGATAAGACTCCCCAATCGACATTCCACAAAGTTCCCCAAGTGCTTCATTTTTATGGGGTGCAATAGAGAATTAACCAGGGGCTAACTTTGGTGCCAAGCTCTCGGCAATCTTATCCACCATGCCTAGGACAGGTTAGCACAATGACCAGGTATGTCTATTCTAAATGAAGTCACTGAACATCAAGATATAGTCAGAGCAAAGGATGATAAAACCCACCATCAGCAGCACTTTATGGATCCCCAATAAAGAAATGCTGTTTTACAAGGAAAACATAGTGCCAACAGAATAAGTGTGTGTGTGTGGGTGTAATGTATGCAGCCTCCACTATCAGACATGGTCACTTTAAGACTGTTACTCGTGATGAACACCATCCACATTCTCATAAGTGACTTTCAGTTAATGAGACAAATTGAAAAAAAATAAGGAATTTTGCTCTTCAACAGAAACACTCAGCCCTCACCTGCTCTCATCCCCTTTCACCTTCTTGATATTAGATGAACAGAGCAAAGTCACTAAAGATCAAACTTTAATTTTAATTATTTGACTGTGTCCCTCCATTTCCTTTCAAAGGAAGATGTTTCTTTCACTTTGTCACATACTTTAACTTGTAAGGGGACTATTCTCTATGTCCATACTTTCAAAAAAAGTTAAACTCAAAACCTTTTGCTTTTGAAAGAAATGGAATTGGATCATTGCTAATGTACCCCCATCAACTACTGATTCCCTGCCATTAAAAAAAAAAAAAACTAACTACAAAATGATTCCTGCTCCTACACTCAAAAATATTTCAAAGCAAAAACAAGAGGAGAAAGAATTCAGTTAATCTTTACCTGAGATCAAGAAAATTCTGTCATGAATTTTCCATAAAAGCATGAAACAAAACTACAGGGTCCCCACCTATGGTTCATAGTTTGGACCAAACACATGAAGTTGCCAGATATGGAAAATCCAGTGGCAATTTTGAATTACCCAACTGATCCGTTGGGCTTTCTTTTCAAAGCCACTAAATTGTTCCACAAATACGTTTCTCCTTCTTCCAAATTTAAATAGCAGGGCTATGGCTTTTTTTCTTTTCCTTTTTTGTAGTTCATTTCTGTGTTCTAAGGGACTAGAAATTAAAAACAGCCCTTACCTACTAGCATAACCGAAAGCGTTATACTCTTCGGCTGTCCATTTTGAAAACAATCCACCCAATCCAAAAGTGCACACCCTAACCGCTGTGCCTATTCCCACCTGCCTGTAGGAAGTGTGATCATTGACGGTACAAATAACTACAATGCCTGTGTGCTCTTGAGAAGAAAAGGCCACACAGAATCAGCACTTAAAGACTTGACAATTATGTCATTTCGTGTGATTATTATCACCTTCCTGTACATTTTTTCCTTGAAAAGAAATACCCAGAGTAGATTAACATTTATTCAGTACTCAGTTTTCCCAGCCCAACAACCTGAAGTGTAGAATACAAGCACAAAATCCCAACCGGTACCATCACAGGCCAGGTGAGGATATTCAACCTTTTGCAGACAATTATCAGTGACATAAATACAAGCAGGTTCAGAATATGTCTCCAGTCTACAAACCTCATGTGTTATACCAAACATCCCAAAGCCCTATCATTTGGTTGACTAGCAAGAGACAGGGCAAATTAATTAAGCAAGCTACTTCGTTAGTTATCAAACAAATGAAAATCATGATTACACTGAAGGGGAAAATTCCATGGTTCTTTCCTTTGGTCATTTCTTCTATTTCCTGCAAGATACGCATCTCCCATAAGAACCAACTACATTATGGACTTTTGGCCTTAAGTAAATTTGCAAATGCACAAAACAATAACTAGCAAATTGGAGAAATAGAGACAGGGTGAGGAGACCGGAAATACAGGAAAGAAGAAGTTCTAGGTATTCAGAAGTCAAATACATGTAAGGCTAAAAACGAAATCCTGAATGTTCTCTGAGTATCTCTCCTGAACAATGAATTCTATGGAACTAAAAACAAAAAACCACCCACAAAGGATGAGTAAGAAAGAAAAGACAGCTTAAAATGTGACAGCCAATAAACTCTAGAATTAAAAGTAATTATTACTCAGAATTCTAGATATGCCTTATGAAAGGTGAATGAAGACAAATTGATCTAAAATGCAAGTAGAATCCTTCTTTGCAATCTGCCCAGACCAGAAGAAAATCCAAGAACATGTCAAATGTACTCTTACTCATCAATTTCCTCATAGTTTGAGACTTATATCCCCTCTTTTTCTTTCTTTACTTTTACCTTAAAAAAAGAAAAAGCTCCATTATAATTGTACCATGACTTATTTCAACAAGAGAGTTTTTTCTTGTTAGTTTTTTCTTTTCCTTTTTTTTTTTTTTCCCTAACGCCAGGTTTTGAGTGATTCAGAACATTCTTTTGTGGTGTGATCATATTCATTCTGTGCTAACACCTCCAGCCATTTTTTTTTCAAATATGTCTTGTTCTGATCTGCTCAAACATCTTGATGTTTAGGTTGGGGAAGCTGAGTTGTTGTTTATGAGTTATCTCCAGTACTCAGATATCCGGCAGCTTTTTCCTAGGAAGTTAACTTTGCACATGAGAGAAAGGAAAAAAAAAAAAAAACATATGCTGTATGGGGACAAGTGGGAGGAGGTTGAGAAAGTTGGAAAAAGGGGCAAAGATCAGAAAGCATAAAGCCTAGAGACGTAAGATTGCCAAAAATTAAAGTCACACGGGCACTTCCATCCCTAGAAAGTTTTTCCTTCTAAAGAGGATATGAAAGGTGTTGAGCTGCACTAAAATCTGATGGGGAAGACAAATAATTCTTTAAAAACAAAAAAATACAGAGTATTTGTTTTGGGACTTTTCCCCCTTAGAATTTAATGGATGCAAATTCATCCATTAATCTGCATGGGGAAATTCCCCTCCTCCCCTCTCTACTTGGTGAATGTCATCACCACAAAAAGCAGTTTGATCTCTTAACTGTGGTTAGAGTCATCATTTGCCAAGCCTGCTTTTATTTGTCTCTTTATATACACTTGCTATTTAATCTGGTCAGAGGTTCCAAAGACAAGTTTACAAATGAACCTCTCCTGCTGGTTTCCTGATAAATGCTTGCCAGTGCCAGGTTTTCTCAAGTATTGCTAAGGTTCAGGGTTAAGAAGTTTAAGGGAGGAAAAAAAAGAGAGAGAGAATGAGAAAGGGATAGGAGAGGACTACCACCCTATCTGCAGTGGTTCAGAGAAAGTAAGAACAAACGCTGTGTGGGATATAGACACACGAAAGGAATCACACCGCTTTCCCTAAGGAATTACCTGTGGAAGGTCCTCAATTCCTCAGGCCAAGACAGACAACCCACAAGGTGCAACAGCTGCTACTTCTGAAACTGGCCCCATCAGACATCAAGCACAAGCACATGTGTGACATTAAGCCTGAGACTATGGCCACTTCCTAGCAGCCCCAGGAACATGTTCTAGATAAAACCTAGAACATTTTTTCTCATAGTAAATTTCTATGATTATCAAAGCATCTTAAGTCATTGCTCCTAGTAAAACAACTATTCTATCAGTGACTACATTTAAGATTTCATGATCAAGAAATCAGCATCCCTAAAAATTTGCTAAGTGACTTAAGAAACCTAGGAGGGAAAAAGAGAGAAAGTTTTTCTATTTAATTCTGAAAAAGAAAAAGCTATCCCAAGCAAGCTCACACGATTTTGAGCTGTCCTGCTAATTTCCTGTAGAAAGTTCTCCTTCCTGAAGAGAGGAAATTAAAAACACAAAATGGTTAGTGTTGGATCAGTGCTTCCCAAGGCAAACTTACCAGTCTTCGCTTGGGCTTGATGAGGGGTCGGTTCTGTCCATTCATTTTGTGGTAGAGCCCGCAGGCATTGCACAGGTAGTGCCCCGTACCATCTCGTCGCCACAGGGGGGTTGAGGTTGCCCCGCAGTTCACACACTCCCTGCCTTCTAGAAACAAGATCACACATAAGTCACTTATGGAAGGAAAACACAGCAGAAAAGCTGACTGCGCTTGGAATTAGGATATGAAAGTACAGTTGAGAACTTTTTTAACTCTCCCTCTTTGTGAGAACTTTTCTGCCCCCACAGCTTTTGAAGGTGTCCCCAAGTTGAAAAATGTTACTGCCTGGTATGACCCTTCCTCGAACTGACAGCTCTGGTCCCAAGAAGTAGGACAAGAATAAACAGAAGAACCTTGCTTTGAGCTGCCTGACTTAAACGGGGAGATCAAGTCAGCCAAGGAGGAAGGCAAATTTCAACTTGAAATAGTTCCCTGAGAAAAATTCTGAGTCCTGGACAATAGCTAAACTAAAACATTCCATTCACTTTCCTCAAAGGGAAACAAAGGTGACCCATTATCATCACTGAGTCTGTCTATATAAATTGATTAAATAATGAAGATTAGGATGGGGAAAGGGAAAGATTCATCAATGGTTAGATAAACAGATAATAAATAGATGAATAGATTGATCAATTGGCTGTTTGATTTTAGTAGCTAGAGCTTTCGATTTTACTTCCAATAAAACTGTAACTGTCCCCGGCTGGCAAGTAATAGATGAAGGCCCTTAGCGTCCACTCCTTCCTCGCCCCACCCCCAACCTTCTCCCTGGAAAAGACCAGCATTTTCTAGTTACTCAGACCCTAACTGAGACTGCAGTACAACCTTGACCCCACCAGTAAGTGTAGAAGGAAATGCGGTGAAACCTTTAGACCAGGAATCTGGGATCAGAGAAGTGGAAGTGAAGAACAGAAGGTCTGGGAGGGGCCAGCAAGAGCCCAGGGTCCCGGAGGAGAGGCCCGCAAGGGGGAGGGGCGTCTCCTCCGCTTGTTCACCGATCCCTGCCGGCCATCACTCTTTTCCCAAAAAACAAACAAACAAAATAAACAAAAAACCGGCCAGGCCAGGTTGGAGCGGCAATCACTCCTGGAGCAGGAGGGGGACAGGCACTGAGCTCCAGAAAGCTCCTAGAGAGAATCCCTCCAAATGCCAATTAGAACTGGGGAGGTTACTAGCTGATTTCTTTTCATCGTCTATGGGAGAAAGATAGTGAAAGGAAACCTCCTGTTCTTGGGGGACTGGTTGGTTCTCCTGGCAGTTTCACTAGCTTCACTGCCTGGAGGAGCTGGGACCCCAAGTTTAGTGGGTCAGCTCCAGGGTAGCCGGGCCCCACCCTGCCACTGGGGAGCAGGAACCTGAAACACCACTCAAGGTGGTTCAGCAAGAGGAGGTGCTAGTAGGACAGGATTTCACTCTCCTGGGGTTGCTGGGGGAGAGGTTTTAAAGGAGGGTGGAGGGAAAATGAGCCCCTCAAGGTTGTTTTAAGAGAGTACTAAGCTAACCCCAAACTATGGGGGAGACAGGGTTTGGGGGGGGGGGTGGCAGGCATACACTTAGAAGGACAAGGATGGCTCCTGGCCCTCAGGCCTGCTGCACCTTGGGAAACCTCCAGACCCAGTAAGAAGGAATGAGGCTAGTTTATACCTGTAAACCTGAGTCTTGGGGAAGAAAAGGTTTTTGGAAACTGAGTACATTTTGCGTCCTTTTATATTCAATTCCGGAACAGTGCCCAGTAAGTTCTGTCCACTTCTTTTAGTAAAAATGAATTGGGACATTAAGAGTGATTTTGCATTTTTCACACCATTTTTTTCTAATGTTCTTAATAGGGGGAGGGTTTTCTACAGAGAGCCTTCCAAAAACGCCTGCAGACACATACAGAACTGCTGCAGTGTGTGCTAAGGGCGCTCCCCCACATGGCAGCAACTTTCATCGGTCCTCACCAAAGACTTAGAACTCAATTCCAGCCTGACACTTGCTGTTTGGAGTCAAAGGAAAGTGCGGAGGCCTGGAGGAGGGAGCACAGGGCAAGTGGGCCGGTGAGGTGGTGTCAGCTGTAGCAGAGCCAAGAGGCAAGTGGCTCTCAGCGGTGTGTCTCAAGGAAACAGGGGGCAGCTCTTCTGGGGGGCAGTGACACTGGCCTTCCAGGCTGGGAAGGGCCCACCTTCATCCTGCCAACACAGAGGCCACTCAGGTCGGCAGAACCTGGTCCCTTCTGTCTTGGTGAGGTCTCTCAGGAGCCTCACTCCCTGCAGCAGAAGCCAAGGAGGTAGAGGAGTGAAGGGGTGATGGTGGGGCTGGTTGCCCTGCTCCCCAGCACCCGGGGCTGGGGGATCTCCCAGCCTGACGTGATTAGTCTGATTTCCTCTCTTTTGTCAGGCACTGAGGAGGTTGACAGCTTCCTTTTCAGAGGGACCTTAAAAGCTAGCTATTCCGGCAAAGCTCTTAACACTAGAGCAATTTTCTGTCTTGATTCACTCCGCAAGTTTGCGATTGGCTTGTCTGGCCTTTTCTGATTTTTTTTTTCTTCTTGTTGCTTCTAGTCAGTGACTTCAGCAAACAACCAGTTTTCCTAATGGAGGCTCTGACTGTCTCCAGTTTTCTTTCCCTCTCCTCACTCACTGCCTGGTGTGAGCTGCGCAGACAACACCTCTCTGAGGTGACAAGAGCCACAGAGCTGTGAGGCCTCTTGACATTCAACAGTCATTTTCAAATACCCTTTGCCGCCAACTAAAATCCTGAAACTGGGCTGGATTGAAGAGCTAGGAGCAGGGCAAGAGGCTGTCAAAAAGGTGGAGTAAGATGCCGAGGGGCCAAAAGGAGGTGGGGGTCTGAGAAAAGGCCCTTTGCATAAAGGCTTTGTCTTTTGTTCTCAGCCCTAAGCCAGCGAGCTATAGGTGCCCAAACCACAGCTTCAACCGTTTCTCCAAAACACAACTCTCTTCTCTTGTCTCCTCCTTCAGCAAGTGCGTTTGCAAAGAAGACGTTTAAAAGGGGATGGGGGAGGGAAGCAAGCACTAAGACCTAGAGAACCCCTTCCTGGGGAATTGCCATTCCCCTATTTTCATAGAGCATCTTGAAAATTCCTTCCCCACTCCCAAAAAGTCCCCGCTCCCTGACTGGCCAGGTGGACTGGCCTTGGTTTTGTTTTTTTTTTTTTTTTTTGGACTGTGAGAAAGGAATAAGAAGGAAGTAAAAAGCCAAATTTCAATAGTCTCCTTTCCCCCAGCGAGAAATTAAATCGATGTGTTGGGCTACTAGTTCTGGCTTAGGAAAACCACAGTCTCCTTTTCTCCCCTTCCACCACCCAACTAAAGGCTCAGAATCTTCAGGAAAGTCAGGACAGCAAGGAAAAGACTGGGGCAGGAGGTACACATATGGAGGGAGAAATCAAACTCCGAAATGAGGGCAAAGAAACCAATCTTTAGGAAAAGTCTCCCTGTCCCCTCCCCCACACACAAACCACCACAGCAGCCTCAGAGACCGCATCTTCCCCCCAAACTTTTAGTCCTACCAGAAAAGAGAACTTTAAAAAAAAAAAAAATCCCACACTGCCTCTAGAAGCACAAGCTTACTTACTCCCTTTGCAATCAGCCCCCAAGCCTTGACCTCATCCTGGTTTCTGTGAGCCAGCCGTACCCCATTTGCCAGTGGGGTAAGCACCTCCACTTAAGCCCACCTCCACCCCAAGCCCAGCCCCTGACAAGGCACAGAGGCCACTCTCCCCGCCTGCACTCCCTTCCTCTTGCTTTCTGTTTGACTCCACCAGCAACAGCACAGCGCACCTCCCTCTCCTGCTGCCTACTTTCATGTACTGAATATATGCAGGTTAGAGTTTTTCTGTCAGCCTAACCGCATCCGGACTCTATTAAAGTTTTGGCTCGGGATAAACAATGCAACTGTCGCGTGCAGCAGTCTGAAAATAATTGGATTAGCTAAAACATATCAACTAAATAGAGACAGTCCTGCTCAGGCAGTCAGAGTGAATGTCACCCTGGAAAAAACCCTGAAAACTGATCTCATGGTCCCCGGCTCCCAGGCTCTCCCTCTGAAGTTTTTTAAACCGGGGTTTTGCAAGTTCTATTTCCAGACTGCTCATCTCACCCATACAAGATAAGTGATTTTTACCACTTCTCTGTATGTAGAACCTCTAGAGAACGGGGACGGAGGCAGGCATGTTGGAATGGACCATAGGGGATAAAGTCACCCTAGAATGACGACGCACCCAAGGAAACAAACCACCTTCACAAAATCCTACCTAAAAAGAGAGTTAATCATATTTTACAGAATACTGCCCTGTTCAGACTAGAAACAAAAGTGCCTATGGATTCTTTTATTTTAAAAACAAAACTAGTTTGCATGGCTTTGGGTTATTCATCAGGCAAGAGGCTATACCAAGAGAATAAGCATGCAGTGTACCCCCTAAACAGGTTTGCTTTCTTGAGAGACAGTGCGCGGGGAAGCAAAGACACACCCCTGGTGAGTCTTTTACAGTCCTTTCTACCTCTTCTGGTATCTGATCAATCCAGGAATATGTCCTTCGACCCCTTCCTGCCCTGCCTGTGCTGACAGCACTGGGAGATACTGCAGGTAACTGGGCCACCCGCTTTGCATTCACTTGTTTCCCCAAGGCAGACCCCTCCTCTTTCTCCCAGAAGTTAGGAGAGCCTCCTTTCCACGTCCAGAATCTGTGTCCTATTTTTTGCAAGGGTCCTGCCTAATCCCCAAATACATATATTCACGCTTTATTTACACACGTCAGAATAAGGGCTGTCCTGTGACTGCATGACCCCCCTTGAGGGCTGAGCTGAGGCAGTGTCAGCCGGACACAGGGCCAGAGGGGTCATAGGAGGGACCTGTGTCTGTTTAGATTTGAGGTTTCGTTTTAGCATTAAACACTAAAGATTTATTCCCTCAGCTTTCCATTTGGTCTTGGAAACTAACTAAAGGTTACTGGCAGAATCCAGAAATTGAAGGCAGGCAGGAGAGGGCATGACTGTGGTTTTGTGTGACATTTTTTTTTCCTTTCTCAGCTAATTGTGGGAGGGGGGTTAAATCAGATCCCATTGTCAGTCTGCAGTGAGACTGGGATAGGACACACCTCATTCTTCCCTGCCAGAAGAATGGGTAGAAGAAATCAAATACTAGTAGTCTGGCACTCACCTCCCCAATTCCCTAAAGAGTCAGCCTGTGCACCCCTTTTCCCTGCAATGGATTTTGGGGGAGAGGAGGGCAGGAGACAGAGAAAGGACACCCAGCAAGGAGCAGCTCCTACCTGTGCTGGATCTGGCCTTCGGCCTGGACTTGCACCCGAAGCCCGTGGGGGAGCCTCCCAGCAGACTGCTGGGGGGGAAGAGTCCGGAGCTGTATTCAGGGACGTAGGGTGGGTAGGTGGTAATGGGGTGATGGGCCGAAGATGCGGCCCCTCCCAGGGTGGTCATGCCACCTCGTGAGTGTGAGGACTCCAGCTTCATGCTGTCGGGCAGCGGCACCTGGTACTTGATGCATTCCTTCTCGTCCTGCCGCGCCGAGCCGGCCGAGCCCGGGGTGGACAGCGAAGGGTCCGGAGAGACGTCCTTCGGCGGGGTAGGCGGGAAGGTAAAGAGGTGCGGGCTGGAGTGGCCCGCGGACAGAGAGGAGGATGAGGCCGGCGGGTAGACCGACAGGGGCCCAGGGGAGCCATGGTGGATGGACGTCTTGGAGAAGGGGCTGAGGTTCCAGGGTGAGGCAGTGTGGTGGCCGCTCAGGGCTTTGCCGCCATCCAGCCAGGGCAGAGACCCATGAAGCAATGGTGGGCGACACACCTGGCTTCCTGCAGAGAAAAGGAAAGGGGAAGAAGAGAGACAGCAGGTTAGAGCAGCCTTGAGGCCCTCAAATACACCTGGGGTTCTGCCTCTCTAGACCTGGCCTCTAGTAGCAGGGGGAAGAAAATCCTTAAAAGAGCCTGGACCTGAGGCAGTTCCACACTCTAAAGCAGGGAGTCCCATAATACCTTGGTCCACTTGGCCTCAGCCACTCCTCACCTCTCTCTCTCCCACACAAGGGTCCCATCAAATCCAGTGGAATTAAGAGCCTGTGACTGACACCCAAAGGTGCTTTCTCAGCAATGGAGAAGGGCCCCTTGGCTTCTTTAGCGTGCCCAGATGCACTTTCTAAATCATATCCCCTGAGTTCCCTCTCTAGAACCTGACTTGATTTATTGGTTTCCTTCAATGGCCTGGAGTCCTCCATCCCAGACTTAATCCTAGCAGCCTGATAAGAGAGTGGGCTGTGAATGATGAGGGCTGAAGAGGAGAACCTGGCCACACAACTGCTCTCACCACCAGCAAAATGCACCGGCCCAAGAGCGAGAGAGGCCCAGCAAAGGTGCGCAGGTCTCGTCTAGAGCTCATTGCAGGGAGAGAGGGCCAAGGAGAGAGGGGTACAGGGCTTTAGGATTACTTCCAAATAACCATAATTTAGAACTTGCTGATGATGAACAAAGCTTGAAGTTGGATTTGCGAGAAAATTTTAGTTGCTCAGGCTACTGGAGAAAGTTTTCAAGGCTAGACTCTGAGGTTGTGGGTTTTTCTCCTTTTCTCCCCCTCCCAAATCCTACAGAAGAAAACCAAATAAAACCCAGATACCAATAAAAGTTTTGATTCCACCAGGGCAAAAATGTTAATTTTTCACCTGAGCCCCAAAGATACAAAATCCCAGTTTATCTGTCTATTTCACTCACACAGTGGATCTAGCCCTCATTTGCAATATCGTTTTCAGGTAGCCCTGACTCAGGCCCATATACTCTGAGACAGGTACATTTAAACTGTAAGTGCAAATCCACACATTTATTGATCTTTTTTAATCTAGTACCTGCCTCAGCATTTGACATTCTGCTTAACCATGAAGAACAATACTGAAACTAAAATCTTGAGAGGAAGGGGAGGAGAGTGGAGGGGGAAGGAGAGTTCTCTGAACAGTAAGGGTCAAGATTCACATTATGCAGGAAGTAGCATAGTAAATAATATTAAATCTTCATCTACCACATTTCCACTTAACTGCTGATCTGCACAGAACAAGGGCAAAGAGCACCCCATCCACAGAAATAATAGTTTAAAACCTGGTGACAGCAGGGTAGAGGATGCTTGCTGCCTCAGAGGCTGTCATCACTGCCAGTGAGGGCTAAGCCGGAACCAGGGCAAACCTCTGTCCAATAGCCGAGAGTCTCACATTTTCTCTGCCTGGAATTTTGTTCCTATTTCTTCTTTAAGAACACACTTAAAGTGCTCAGGCTCACTACATAGGGCTGGGTTTCTTTTTAATATTTAGAATTCTCCTGAACTTCTCAAGGTGAAAAAGAGAAAGGCAAAGAAAGGAAAAAGAAAAAAAAAAGATAGGGCAACTTGGAGTCTCTCCTACTTAAAAGAAACCCTGGTGGATCCAAATTCTTCTCTGGGAATCTAATGGGCCTGTTGTAGGCCACAGGAGACAGTAAGGCAAGAACTGCAGGGAGCAGCTAGGAGGTAAACCTAAAAGCAAAGACACAAAAAAATTCTGTGCAGGCGGGAATCCAGAAAACCTCAAATGCCTTAAACTTACCAAAACTTAGGGTTTTGGTAGAAAACCCCCTTCAAGCACCAGAAATTTCTCAAGGCCAAAAGGTAGGAGACCTGACCAGAAACCACAGATGCTAGCTTTGGGAGAGAGGTCGAAAGACAGGAGTGTGAAAAATGTGTCTCTCCCAGACCCTTCTGAAAATGTGCGGGAGAAACACACTAAAGCACACCGGCAGAAGCCCCCCCAAAAGAACTACGGGATAACTGGAGGAGCGAAATCCTGTGGAAGAAACAAATCCGAGAAGGGTTTGGCCAGTGCCGGCTACCCGGCCTAGGGAGCTTTGGCCCGCCGAGGCAGAACCTCAGCTCCAGGAGGAGACTGGGACCTCCAAGGCCCCCGAACCTGCGGCCATGCGGGAAGAGTGGTATGTGTCTCCCCACACGCCAGGTGAGCAGCGGGCCTAGAGACGCCTGCCACGGAGAGGTTCCTGCAGCAACTGTTTTTAAAAACAGACTCTCACGACGATTGAGACGCCTTCCTCGCCCATTTCCGGGCCCCAATTTTTTTTAAAAGAACTAGTAATAGCAGTAGGGGACTTCCGCCTGGTCTCCCCATTCTCTGGTCCCTGTCTGCCTCCCCATCTGTCAGAGTAAGGGTGACTGGGCATGGGTTTCCGCACCTGGGGCGAACTCACCGTGGTGGGTCGGAGGGTACCTCTGCACCGTGGCCCTCACCGAGTTTCCGTAGTAGGACGGTACGTGGTTGCCTTGACCGTCGATGTTAAAAAGTACATCCACCTCCTCGGGCAGGGGGTACTGCGCGGGATCCATGTAGGAGTGGCCGAGGCCCGGGTGGTGCGTGTCGGGGTGCTGCCCGTTGAGGACCGCAGGGTGGTGGTGGCTCACCCAGCGCGGCTGGTCGGCAGTCACCTCCATGGCCCCGGCTGCGCTCGCGCCCTCAAGGCCGGGCCCGGAACCCGCGCGGAGAGGGAGGGCGGTGGGGCTGGGAGGTCGCGGACTCCGAGGCTCCGCAGGTGCTCCGGCTGGTAGGAGCGGCGGGTCCTTTAAAGATTTATTTTCAGCGGGGAATGGGAAGCTGGTAAGGAAAGTTGAGCAAATGAGATTTAAAAAAAAAAAAAAAAAAAAAAACTTTGGTAGTTTAGCAAAGAGGAGGAAGGAAAAAAAATTCCAAAAAATAAGTACTTAAGATAAAAAGGGACTAAGTTTAAAAAGGGGGGTGGGGTGGGAACGAGACCGGAGGAGTGCTCTGTACCCGGGGTTCTTCAGAGGCTGAGTCTCTTCGCGGGTCACCTGCAAAGGAGAGAAGGGGGAGACCTGGATGAGCTAAGGACTTTAGCACCTGAGTTTATGAAGTGGCACCACCTCCCCTCCAGCCGCCCGGCCCCTGCGCCCGCGCACCTAGGACACGCACACACGCGCACACGCGCCTACTCCACCCGAGTTAGGAAAACCCCGACACCAGTCCAAGAGGGAACAACTCCCAAGAACATCCCTAGCCGCCTGGCTTTCCCCGGAGTCCTGCACTGACAGAGCGGTCCAATTTGGACAAGTCCCTCCCTCCCGGGACACCGCTCCTGGGACCTTCTTTCAGAAACCCTCAAAAGAGAAGGTTGAGTTTAAAATGTTTCTAAAGTTTTCCCCAATGGAAAGGGGGGAGGGGGCAATCAAACTTAAAAAAAAAATCGCCAATACCAACCTGGGTAGCAAGGAGCAGAGAGGAGGAGGAGGCGTGTGACCCGAGAGAGCAGAAACTGCTCGGTCAGATTGCGTGGCTCGCCGTCTCGCGCTCTCCCTCTCTTTCTCTTTTCCTCTCCCTCTCCCTCTCTCAGTATTTTTTTTTTTTTACAGGGAATGCATTCTTTCTGAAAGTATCAAGACGGCGCCAGGCAGCTCAGTGTTCGCAGACAGCTGTGGCGCGACGCAACTTAAGGAGGTTCTAGTGTCATCCGCACCGGGGGGAGGAGCCATGCCTGGCGAGGAGGGGACCTGATCACCAGCACAAGGAAACTGCCACCCAAACCCGCTCCAGGACTTCACCCCCCCCTCTCAGTACCCCTACTCCTCCTCCCGCCCCTGCACTGACCGGAAAGGGGCGCCACGGAGGGCGGCGGCGGGCGGAGGGGCACGGGGCGGGTGGGCGAAGCCGGGCGACTTTGGGGCGGAGGGGGCTGGCAGGAGGGAATTCGCGCTCTGTCCCTTTAAATGTGGCTCCCGCTCCTGCCAATTCATTCGGCTGGGTAGATAATTCCGCGCAGGGGAAACCGGCTTGCCCCATTCATAAAGTTAATTTCGACAGGCAGCCTTTCTTTCCAGATTTTTTAGTAGATAAACTTTTTTTGTTTGATCCGGAGTACTTGAGAATGTATTGATTTGGGGCTATGTACGAGTAAACTGATCACAAACTTTTTTTGGTCCAAGTTCTTTGAGATTTTCTTTTCGAGCCGATTTCCTAGAAGATTGAAGGATCGAGCTAAGGGAACGTGACTTCGACTGAAATATCCGCGTTACTTAGGTTGTCTTGTCAACATTTCCCCCAGTCTTTTGCATTAGAAAGCCTCTCAAATTAATGTCTCAGCTATGCTTTCCAGACCTAATATTTGTAACCGATGGGTGCTTCTGACTTGAGTGACAAGTGATGAATAAAGAAGAAAGAGAGAGAGACTCTAACAAGTTCCCCCAAGTACTGGGAAATTAATGGGAAAGAAGAAAGAACTCGGTCTTCACTTGTTACCCAACTTTTCCCTTCCCCCCGCCCAAAGCCCTACTTACTCCGGCTCCCTCCGTTTTCCCCAGCCGAGGAAACCAGCTCCCACCGACCCTCACCCCTGCACACCCCAGAGACCCAGCCGGCAGCGCAGGTCTCCGACTCAAGGTCTGCGGGTCCCGCTGCCCTCGGAGCAGAGAGCGCGGTTCCGAAATCCCCAGCGAGGGGGCGGGGCTGGAGGGCGGGGCCGGGATAAGGGGCCAATCAGTGAATGAGGCTGCGGCCCGGCCGCGATTGGCCGGCCCGGCGGGCTCAACCTCCGCGGTCTTCTTTGGTCCTTTGAGCCACTGCATCCCCTAGCGGCGCCTAAGTCCTGCTGCCGGCCGGCCGGAAAACGCGGCCGGGGCTAGCAAGGGTCAGGCGGGAAAAGAAGACTCAATTCCGTACTCTGTTCACTCCAGGGCAGTGTGTTCAAGCAGAGATTGTGGCTTCTCCTTCAGGCTTTTCCACGAACGTTACTAAGAACTGGCGGAGGGGGGGGGGCGGTATTTGATTTGAAGACTTTGTTCCCTCACGGTTCCTCGGCCCCATAAAATTCCCTACAAATATAAAAATAAGAGACAGAAGAGGCCGTCCCATAAAGTAAGTTCTGAAGGATTCCTTTCATGCGGGAAGGAAAAACATCAATTTTCTGTCATAACTTGATGGGGCAGGGAGCTTAAAACAGTCCTTGTAGAAAGATGGTTAAGATTTATGGGAAAGAAATAGTAGAAAAATAGGTCCTCCAGATCTTAGATTTAGAACTTCTCTTGAGTCTTCGTCTCCCTAAATCGGATGTTTGTTAATAAATGAGGATTGAGTTGCTAGGTATGTAGCAGAAAGAATATCTCTAAATTAAACACCCCCTCCCATGTTCCTCCTGAGCCCATTTAGTCCCGGTTTATTAGGGCGACCCAGAAAAAGGAGCATCGATTTTCCTTTCACTCTGACCACTTCTCTCTAGGGCCAATCAAGCTGCCAGTCTCTCCTGCTCAAGACGCTATCCAAACCTTTTAATTATTTAGTTTCAAACATTCGCCGGAAACCGCTCCATAAACAAGGAGAGACGAACGGACACACGTTTTTGCTAAAAGCTCCGAGATTTAGGATGGAAGCCGAGGACAAAAATGAAAAGCGCTTCTTCGCGTGTCAGTCCAAGACCAGGATAAACTAAGCGGACCCCAGGTCAAAACCACGCTGGAAACCCCAAAGGTAACTGCGCTGAGACCTAAGAGCCTGGGAAAGGAGCCATCCTCGGGAGAGCAAAGCTGTTGACGCCAGGACTTGAAAATGTTGGCTTCTGAAGCTAAAAAATGTTTTATGGACAAAGAGAAAATATTTGTGCGAAGGCCTTCCTGTGTAGCGGTGTTTCTCTGATAACGCACACAACTTGGGGAGCAGGAAGATAGTTCATTTTAATTAGATCAAACGTGGGCTGCAACTGGGATGGAGATGGGAGAGGCCACACACACCCCCTTGGAAAAATAAAAGATCTTGAAGGCCCCTTTTGGTCTGGGTGGTTTGGAGCTGGCAGAGAGGGCTGGGGGGCCTGCGGCTGGATGCCCAGTGTAATGGAGCCAGCCTGTAGGGGGTATTTAACATTTAATTCCCAGCCGGTCCGCCCTTGTTCCCGGACTGACAGTGGGTAATTGGGAAAGAGGACGTTGCTCTTTTGATGGCCCGCGCCGGCCAGTCTCGCCGACGCCACACTGGGTTTGACGTCACGGGCCCAGCCCCAGAGTCAGGAGCACAGAGCAGGGGGGCTGGGGGAGGGAAAAAGAGGGAAGGGGTACACCAGGGAGGGAGGGCGGAGGTCGGCCCCAGGACCCACAGGGAAGGAAGGGGGAAGGGAGGAGGCCGGAGAGAGGCTGCGGCGCGTGGCCTGAGGCGGAGAGCCCGGCTGCGGGGGTCTGGGCCAGGCCCGGCGCCGGCCTGACCCGCCCAGCCGGCGAATGCAGGCCGGGCTTCCTCCTCCGAAGGCGGGCGGGGGAGGGGAAGGGGCTTGAGGCTGGGGGGAAGGGGGGGAAAGGTGGTCCTGATTCATCCTCGACCGGAGCCCGCAAAGTTGATCCTAGCCTCCTGCAGAGACGCCTCTGCGCCTTCCTGCAGACCTCACCGCCTCCCCACCCCCCCCTACGCCCCCAGGCACCCCGGGCCAGCCCGGTTTAGCGAGTCGCCCCCGCCCTTCTCCCCGGGAGCAGCTGGCGGAGCTCGGGTGGTGGAAAACCAGGACACCAAGAAGGATGCTGCCGCCGCCGCTGCTACAGGGCCCTAGGCTCCCTTAGGGCGCGAGGCCTCGCTCACCAGGGTAAGGGGCTAGCGAATGGCCTGGATGCCGGGACCCTGGGGGCAAGCATTCCGGAGCCGAGCAGGCCACGGTTCAGCCACCGCCTCATGGAAGAGCCGGGTCCGGGTGCGGTGCGTGGGGCGGCGGGAGCCAGTTTGGCCTATCTGAAACGCCAGGCCCGGGGGCGGCTGCTTTAGGCGACAAGTTAAACGGGGTGTGTGTGCCCTCTTGGGGAAAGGGTAAGAAATGGAACCTGTCTCTCCTAGGTAGGAGTGTGTTGGGACACACACACACACACACACCCCAAATACATGCCCATTTACAGGTCCCTCCCACCCGCCCTCCCGGGAGCGCTGAGCTGGTCGGGGTGGAAGTGGGGAACCCAGTCCGGGAAAGGAAACGGAACCCGCGGCACAGAAATGAACAGAACGCTCCCCAGGCTCACCCCTGGGGTCGCAGAACCCACAAAACGGAGTTCCAGGCTATCAACGTCGCCCACCCGAGCCTGGCGACCTCCGCGTCCAGGCGAGCTCCGCGGGGCCGAGGTGCGGAGAGAAGCGGCCCCAGGCGCCCGCGCTGCCCGCAGAGGGTAACTGGAAAAGCCGGGCCTCGGGGTCCAAGTCATAAAGTTACTAATCCCGCGCTGGGGGAGCGAGCGTGCCTCGGGCTGCCTGGGGCGGTCATTTGAGCGTGTTTACTTAGGGATTTTGCAAAGGGAGCGCGCGCGAAATAGTCGGATTTCCAGCGAGGCAGCAAATATTTGCAGGGGAGAGAAAGAAGCGGAGCCCGGCCGCGCCGCCGCGTCCCTCCCCCCGGAGCCGCGGCGCCGGCCTGGGCGGACCCGGCCGCGCGGTTAAAGACCGAAATGAAGCCGGGAACCTGCGGGGCTGGGGGGCGGGGACGGCGCAGAGCGACACCAAAGGCCAGAAATTGGAGCGCGGCCCCGAGGCTCTGGAGAGCCGGGGCTGGGGGAGGAGATGTCCCTTTCCATCCCAGCCCGATCAATCTTCCTTGACTGCGATCGGTCAATAAAAATGGTGTGAACGGCCGCGGTCGCTGTGCGTCTGGGGAGGAAGTGGAGGCCAGAGGTGGCGAGGCCGGCGCCGGCTCCCCGCACCAGCCGGGATCGCGGCCCGGCGGTCTGCAAGCGGCAGACCCGGGGCCAGCTCGTCTCTGGAGCAGAGCGCGGCCCGGCGGGGCCTTTAATTGGGTGTCTCCACTTTAATAGTGGCCATTGTTGGAGCAATTAGCCAGAGACAATAACTGCCAAGAGGCTTTTAATTCGATTCCGTGCGCCGGCTGCGGACAGAATTTGGGCGCTCGGGAGGAGGCTGGCCCAGGAGAGAGGATCTGGTTAAATGGTGGCTCCCTTCTTTGCGGGTTTGTCTTAGGTGTGCGAATTCTAATCTGACAAGATGAAAGAGGGGTGAGAGCGTCCAGGTACTGGTCCTGGCCTTGAGGAACCAGTCCCGGGCCTTGCTAACCCTTAGGAACGCTCCTGGGACCGCTGCACCAGCTGACAGCACGCGTTCGAGCCGCGGCCACCGCGCGGGTCCCCAATGCCTATTAAAGGAGAAAAAGCAGGCAGGACAGTGACGTGGAAACTGGGCTCTTGAGCCCCGGGTCCCCCACCTGGTATCCGTAGAACCGCGTCCCAACTTCATTCCCCCCTGGGGGAGGAGGGGCAAACATTTCTGGCGCGTACACACCCCCTCTCCGCGGAGCCAGACTCACCACCCCCTCCTCTGCCTTGGCCTTGGGATTAGGTTACCGTGGCCGGGCGAGGATTTTTACTGGATATGAGAATAGCACAGGTAAAGCTGTATAAACAGCTCGCCGACTGCGGGGCGGGAGGGTTACGCCGAGGACACGGGTGCAGGCGCCGCCGCTAGGCTGAGGCTGCATAGGCAAAGTGCCTGGGGTCGGACTGTGGCGTGGCGCCCGGGTTAAACACATTAAAATGTGCAGTTCCCGCCCAAGCCACCTTTCTCTTTCCCGCGTGAGCTGAAATGCAGAGGTAGGAGCATAAAAAATGATACGAAGGAAGCAGGCAGTGGCCAGTGCTGGCAGTTCTCTTCAAGTGAAACACAGCAAGCAGGGGAGTTGGGATGGGGGAGAGAATGAGGAGAAAAGAGAACCCCAAAACTCACTGACAAAAACTCGCTGGAGGTGGAGGCGTCAAAGGGGAAACCCGCGGGAACTCAGTTGAAAAGAGCTCTGCACGCGCTACTTCTAGGCTCCCACACCCACTCACCCCAGGCCCAGGGTCTACCTTCCTTGGGAAATGAGCCATCGCTTTGGGAGTGGTGTGCGGTTTAGTCTCAATGTCTCTCTGTCTGTCTATCTGTCCCTTGCCACCCCCACCTCCCTTTTGCTTATTCATCTTTTACCGTTTAAAACTCGGAAGGAAACCCGCCCGGGCAAGGAGCTGCTAGAACACGGAGAGTCAAAGAGAAAGGAGATGAGCTCGGAGATTACCCCCCTCCTGCTCCGCCCCCACCGCCTGGCCGGGCCCTCCAGCTTCGAGGGATCCTGGCCCTCCCTCTGCTGCTACCCATCTCTCCCCAGTTGAGAAAAACCCTGATTGTAGTGAGATAAAAATTGGGCAGGGTAGGTAGTGGAAAGAGTGAGGTGAGGGGGGTTGGGGGGGACAGGGGATTTCTGCTTTCCGGTTTAATAAAGCACAAGTCGGGTATTGATGTTGGGGGACAGCGTTGGGTAGCAGGAAAGTTCCTCAGGGGGGTGAGACCAGGAGGAAGAACGCAGCTCCCAGCACCTCCTTCCCGGTCTTGACAGTTTGGGAGACAGGTGGTAGCCCCAAGAAAAGAAGGGGCCAGAGGTGCTCCAGCAGTTGCTATGTGTCACACGCTTCTTCTCAGGTCCCCAGTGACTCTTAAGAAAGGGCTTGTGGCTTCTACACTCACACTCTCTTCCTCAGGGGTCATCGAGCCCACTGAAGCTCAGGACGTCCCAGGGAAGGGACTGGCCTCCCAGCCAGGGCCAGAACCGCAGTGCGGGATTCATCCTAGCGTCTTTTCAGGGTAGCGGTGCACCTTGAGGCACCTGCTCCACTTCCCCAGCCTGCCCTCACTCCCCTCTGTGGCTGGCCCCCTCACTGCCACCCCAGAGCTTCTGGCCAGCTTCAGCCCAAAGTGCTGGTCTCAGTTGGCTCTCCTCCTGCCACTTTCATTTGGCATTTCTGTGGACAGAGCAAGGACTGTATCTGGGAGATACTGTGTTTTTACTTGTCTAGATCTGCCAGAGAAACCGTTGTGATTGATGCTGGACCTCTGACAGTGGGCTTCAAGGAAGAGCAATCACAACAGGAAGGAAAAATGGGACGGAATTTTGTTCAGATCCCTGAGACAGTAGAGAAGAAATTCTAAAAGCAGAAATTGGTCTTATCTTCCTTTGGAAATGTTAAAGAGAAGAACCCTTGGTAAAATAAGAATCTGACACTGAGAAATAAAAAAAGAGAATGGTTGGAGGGGTCTGTGCCCTGCTGGCCACCTATCTGTGCCAGCTCCCCCACTTCCAGGTCTCTGCTGCCTGACACCTCATGGACCCCAAACAATTTGTTATATAGAGCAAAACAGCACAAGTGCCTGCAATCACCCAGACACTGCCACCCAGGGATACATCAGCTAAGCACCATGGGCAACGTGTTTCTTTCTTCCAAATGCCGCACCCAACTGCTACCACTTCCAGACTCTTCTGCCCCAGAGGCCAAAAGCAAAGGGGAGTTCGGACTCCTGTTCCAGAGCTTCCTCAGCTCACTTGCTGCTAGTAACTAAGTCTTTCTCCTGTTACTCCAATCATTAAGAAAAATAAGTGATCAAAAAATATTTGATTCACACACAAAGAAAAACCACAGTAGTGATGCACATTTTGTGTGAAATGGCTTACAGAGAGGAGACAATACCTCAGAGCAGCCCCGAACGGTTAGAATAATCCTATACTGGAAAACAGCAAATTTTTTCCCTATACACACCCAATTACCTATCATCTCCCACAGCTCAAGCACAAATTTCCTTACCCCCCAGAAGACAGTGCAACTCAGTATCCCACCTCCAGGGTACCTGTGTCCTCTGTAAGCACTGTGAGGTCCTGGGCTGCTGGTAGTCCCAACAGAGAAGCTCCGCCAATGAGAGCCTGGGGGACCCATTCCCATTCCTTTGCTGCACCCCAGTTTACTCATATATAATTTACAAAAAGCCAGGGTGGGGTTATCAAATAAAGGGAAATATAGCTCCTCTGTCTCTGGGCTTTTGGCAGGACAGATCAACCTCTACCCTAGGTCCTGAAGCTGGCACAACTGTCTGGTATCCAGTGGACAGTGTGGACCTATGGGATGGCGAGGTTCAGCATCCTCAGAGGCCAGCTGACTTCTCAAGCCCCAAACCTGGAGCGCAGCTTGGCAACTGTCTATGATCCTGGGAGTCAGTGATGGGAGTCCTTGGGGCTTGATCACACCTGGTCAGGAAGCCACAACCAGTCACAGGTTCAAATAGGTAGAAAACAATTCCTCAGAATTACACAAAAATTTGACGGTAGTTCTCCCACAACCAACATGTGGGTCCTGCAAGGATTTTAGTCCCCAGGCCTGGGTCGGCTCTCCCTGCATTGATGGTACTCGTGCCTGCAGCTTGTCACAGCATGAACAGACCCCCACTACCACCACCTTTTCTGCCACAATTCCTAAAAGATGGTGAGCTATGCTACTTTATTTAAAGTTCTTAATCTCCCCCCCAACCCCCAGAATCTTGATAAATATGGGTAAGAGGGGCAGAACAGAAGGACCACCGTGTATCAAGCCAAACCAAAGAGAGCTCTGGCGGCTTAGACTCACTTTCACTCCCACCCTTGCCTGTATAGAATCACCATGTAAGTTTTCCAGGCACCTTGTAATATAGGAAAGGGGGGACAGTGAGCTATAAAACCAACTCTCCTCCAGCCACATAGCTTCCCTTGCATTTTAGCATTAAAAGTCTTCATTGAGAAATGCTTCTGACTGAGATACTTCTTGGTGGTAGGTCGATAAGTCAGATGTCCCAAGAGAAAGTCAAATTCTCCCCTCTGCATCTCTTGCTCCCCACTGCACCCCCTCTCTAAGGCTATGATTTTCTCTCCTAGGGTGAGAAAGCAAAGGTGCCTGTCTCCCAAACACCAGCTCCCAGGAGATGCCAGATGCCCACACATCTGGGCTCCAACTTTTATCTCAGCACACAGCTGTTTCTTTAATTATGTGCACAGACAATAAGCCTGAACACACACTTGTAAGCAGAGCGAAATAAACATAAAATTGACACTCAGATCTTGCAGCCCTTGCCTTGGGGACCTGACTGAGCTATTCCTGGGCAAAGAGGTTCATTTCCTCAATCCTTTGATTTCCCTGCAGTAAAAAGGCATGTCTAGCCCTTCCTGCGCATTCCCATCATCTCTTATTTTTCTCCTTAGTTTTTTCTTTAATTGATTGGTTTTTCTTTCCGTGCTTCGTTCTTCCAGCTCTTTCGTCCAAACAAGGACACACACACACACACACACACACACACACACACACACACACACCGTGTTCTCCCAAGGTCACTGCAGAAAGCCAAAGGGTTTCCAGTGGCCAAAAAGAACAATAAGGGATGGGGACCAGCTTACTTTTTCTAGGGGCTGTTGTCCCTTTGGAATGAGCCCTCTTCTTAATTCTCTCCACGTGGAGTAGAGAAACAGTACAGAGTTAGAGAGAGGGGATAGCAATTCACTGACCTGGGTAGCTCGCTCCTGCCAGCCAGCTGTTTTTTATTTTTTCCTGATTTGATCTGAAGGCAGAATGACAGGCAGACTGGACCACTGTTGCCGCTGCTGCAGTCCTCGCCGCCCCAACTGCTTACGGCATCTCGCGCAGGCTTCCAGCGAGAAGTAAAACCTGGGTGAAGTGCATCCTTCCTAGGAACCCCCTCCCTCCGCCTTCTCCTGCTCACTGTAGAGAGTGGAGCTCTTCCGGGTTGCGAAGGGGGAAAGGAAGGGAGGGAAGAAGACAGAGCAAGGGAATGAAATTCACCCCCTTTTGCAAACACACCACTCCTTGGGGGTGTGTCACTTGGTGCAGAATTGGGGGGTGGGGTGGGGTGGGGAAAGATTGCCCGAGATGTGGTCAGCCTCTGGCGCCTGCTAAACTCACTGTCTTCTGGCAGAGTTAGAATTAACACTGTAAATGTCATCAGTAGTATTGACTGGGCCATTACTTACCTTAGATATAAAAGCTTTTGCAGAGTTTTCCTCCCATTTTTTGAAGGAAATGAGGACCCTGTGAGAGTGTCTGGAGGTAGAACCAGGAGCTACCATTAGCTGGCAGTTTGCCTTACTCCCTCCTGGCTGTAACTCCAGCCTCTGTTTATGCTGATGCCTCAAAACTGCTTGCTCCACACCTTCACCTGTCTTCAGCCAGAGCAGAGTGAAAGTCATGGAAGCGGGCTATTCAAAGACTGGGGTCTGTGATTGGGACTATCCTCTGCCCCTCCTTAAAGTAGGCAAAAGATATTTGGAGGTAGGGATATCCATTCTCACACTTTGTAGGCATTTGGGGTAGAGGCTCCCTAGAATCCCAGTTCCTCTCAAGAGGACTTCTAAAGGAAATCTACCTTCCAGAGAGTGAGATAAGGGAGTGAGAATCAGAGGTTGCTCTGAAGATAAGATGTCTGAAGGAAAACAATCCTATCAGTCCACTCTTGGTCCTGCAGAAGCAGAAAGCAGCAGTGGTCTCCTTGAAAGCTTCCCCTCTCCTGTGCCATCCCTGCTTCTGCTGGTGGGCGAGCAAAATAACACACAGAGGAAATCTGTCACGAATAAATTTCTGCAAGAGTAAAATGAAACTCCATAAACATTGGGGTAGAAAGGTCAGGGTCCATTTGTTTTGACAGGTAGAGTTTTCCCCTCAAAGTATTTATACAATAAGAATATGGAGACTGACTTTAAAAATAAATACATCTTTGGGGAGAAATAAAACAAAATTGTCCATTGCTGGGCCAAGAAGTCAAGAAGTTTCTTGTAGAAAAACCAGTTCGGTAGAAGCAATTGCAGGTTTAATGGGGCTAAGTGGGGAGAAGTGGAGCAGGAGGGGCCACTGGTCAGGAAGGTCCGGATGAGGAGTGCAGAATTGGGGGCCGAGGTTGGGGGAAGTTGGGGAGGATCGAGAAAGGATCCCGAGAGTAACGCTGCCGCGGAACTTGGCGTCCGGAGAGCAAGAGTAAAGCCCAGACCTGAGGGCGTCGGGTTTTGGGGAATGGACGGGGGCTCTCTGCGAAGGACAGGGTGCCCTCTCCCAGCCGCCGCCAGCCCACGGTTACTTAAAACCTCGCCCTCGCCCCCGCCCCCGCCCGACTCAGACGCACCGCTGACTGGCTGGCGTCCTCGGCTGGCACCCTCAGGAAATAGGGTTTTAGATAGAGAGCCCGGCAAGAGGAAAAGGGGGTCTCGCGGCCCCCAGCGAGCCCGCGGTGCACCCGGCGTCACAAACTCAACCCCTCCTCCACCTCTCTGCCCCGTCCCTGCCGGCTTCCGCCACCAAGTGGCAAAGCCAAGTTCTTTGGTGCCGGGGTGCGTAGTCGGCGGGGCCGCCTGTTTCGAGGACGCGAGAGAGAAGGTCACTTTCTTGACAACTTTCACCCAACTTGTTGCCCTGGCGCATCTCAGGGGGCTGCCTGCAAGGCCGCCAAGGATGGGGCCGCGAGGTGGTTGGCCAGAGGAGGGTGACGGGACTCCGAGCCCTCTTAGGCCCCCAGACCACCTTGTCCCTTCCCGCGCGCTGCCTCCTGGGGTGTGGGACCATCGGACCCAGGGGAGGACGGCATCCATCGTGCAGGCGCCCCGGATGTTAGCTGTGCTCCAACTTACAGTCCAAACCGCCGAGGATCCACTGGCGTCTTTTTCCAACACCCCTCCCCCCACCCCCGGCTTCCTGTCCTCTGGTAGTTTCTCATTCTCCCACCCCGTTCTTTACCCCCATAACCCCCCACCAGGGATAGAGTCGTCTCTAATTGGAAAACCCTTTTACATAAGGTCGGAGTCCGCCAGCACCCTCTGATACTCCAGGCCAGCTCCGGCTTCTCGCTCACCCCTCTTCTCCGCACCCCTCCTCCCCGCCCACCCCCTCGCCACCACCCTGTCCCCGGGCTGCGGCTTGCACCCGCGACCTCGCCAGGTTTCAGCCGGTCTAGCGGCCTCTCTCCGGGTTCTTTTCTGCTGACGCGGGCACTTGCTTGTCTCCGAGTCTAAAATGACTCTGGTAAAGGACTGAGAACTCTAACCGTATGTCCACGGCTTCTTCATCACCCCAATTCTACGTTTAGCAAAGGAAGTCTCAATTTAAGGAAAATCGCCTGCCAAAGACACTTAGGTTAAAAAAAAAAAATCAAAGAACTTAACTAAAACGTTTATAACTGGTGTTCAGTGTAACGATCAGACAAGAGCAAGACCAGGAGAAGTACCGTCAGCTGGGCATTTCTTGGCGATCTTGAGGAATTTAGGAGTGGAAACTGCTAAATAAGAAAAGAAAGACGATTATTTAAGGAGCGTTGGGGGAGCTTTGATGGTGGGAGAAAGTAGGGGGGGGAGAAGAGAATTTATTTCTGAGAAGTAAACAAAGTGCGGAAACCTTTCTGGTCGCTTAGTCCAAGGACCTGAAGATTTAGTCTGCCACTGATGGGCTTCGGCCTCTGCAACTGTAAAGACGTTGCTTTAATGAAGCTACAAGTCGCTTTCTGAATGTTAAAAGCTACCATTCCGGTTCGCTGATTCGTACCTCAGGTCTCTGCGGTGCGTGTTATACACTTGTGTGCGAGAGGAAGTGCAAAAAACGACCCTCAGCTATTCCGAAGCTGTAGTCTGTGTTCCAGTCTGGAGCCCCCCCACCCAGTCCAGGGGGGGCACTCTCTAGCCTCTCTACCCTGACAAGTCCGAGGTGACAAGGTGGCTTCTCTCCCAAGACTGTAGGACTCTCAAGTGAACCTTTCCTCGGGACTGTGAGCATCAGGTACCAAAGCCAGAAGGCACAGAACAGGTCTCCGTCCACCGCAGAGTCCCTCAGTCTGAGCCCGGGACTTTCTGCCTGGACCCTTCACCCACCCTGTATGTAGCTGGGCTCCCTGGCACCTTTCCCCTCCTTAGAGCACCTACCACTGGCCTTTTAACCCTCTACCCCATGTGCCAACCACCATCCTTCCTCTGACTTGGATTCCGAAGCTGAACCGGACTGAGAGTTTTTCTGAGGCTCCTGTTCCTAGGAACAGAACTTGGGGTTGGGATTTTTCCCTCAGGCAAACGTTAGGCATCAAATACTTTAAATCCCATGTTGCATCGGGCAAGATTTTCGAGGCCACATTTCTACAAGCTAAGGCATTTGATTGGATTTTAAATATAAATGGTGTCACCAGGCAAGTGGAGGTAGAAAATGGATCAGTAAATGACTAATAGATAATAGAAACACTGTATCCCTGATCTCTGATGGTTGAGTAGATAGGAAGTTCACCTGTTGGAGAAAGAAAAAGGAGACCCTGTTGGAAGAAATAATCGCTGGCAGAATCTCCAATCTTTCTAAGAACATGTGGCCACTTAGAGTTATACGCAGGCTGGGGGCACCATAAATTTATTCTTTCAGGTTTCCAATATCCCGTTTCTTTTAAAACACAGGCAATATTTTTCTTTCTTTCTATCAGTCTTTAGCATCATCTCCCTTGTCAATTTTTCTACCTTCCTGTATGTCTCCTGATTGGTTTAGATGAAGTGCCCTCTGTGCCAGATGAAAATACACTCACTCAATTTCAGCCTTGGTTTAAAAGTTCTAATCCTTCACTCCTATTTATTGAGACTTCATTACAAATGTGTAGAAAGGGGGCGGGATTACTTGAGAGGGTGTTAAAAGGGGTCTGGGTGGGAACAACCCTGATCTTTCGTTTTTTTCTTCTTTTATTCCCCTGAACAGAACATTCTTACTAAACTCATCTTTTGAGTCTGTGATTTTGATTCTGTTTCCCTGACTAAGAACTACAATTTGAGGGGGGATAGACTGGGGGGGGGTGTGGGGGTGACACAGGACAGGGTAGTTGGCGGCCTGAGTAGTGTGGGACCATGGACATCTCATAGGAAAGTTTCACAAAGCATTGACTGGAAATTAAAAAAAAAAAAGAAAAAAAAGAAAAAGGAAAAAAACAGACCTATTCCACCCAGGCGCCCTAAACAAATAGCCCCGTTTGCAAATTCCTATCAATTATTACGTGATGGGAAAAAATCCTATCTGAAAATAAAGCACGTGGACGTGGAGAATTTTAATTAAATCTTACTGTGGATATAATAACATGGAAGTGATTTTTCATTCGGCGCTTGCCTGCTCACCAGTGTTTTATGGCGTTTTCTTGCCTCTGACTTTATTTTAAAATATTAGACGAGGTGGAGAATTATAAACGACTCTTTCCTTATCTGTACTGCTCACATATCCAGGATCAGAGGAGCTGATTAAGAAAGAAGTCAGAGGCAACGTTGGATTCATAATGATTTGGAATAATGAATCCTTATCTCTGCTTTCCAGATTATCTGCCTTTCAGCTCCCAATGTTTTGTTACATGGGATAATTTATTGCATCTAATACATCACAATGAATCTGATGGTAGAAAGTGATGGCCAACGTTGTGAAAAGGGGGCCCTTATTTTTTATCCCGGGGCAATGAAACTGCTTTTTGCAGTTTTTAATTGGGAAAATATAAGGTAGATCTGATAAAAAAAAAAAAAAAGAGCCGGGTATAATCTTGCCTGCTCGTGCCTTACC